TTTTTTTTTTTTTTTTTTTTGCATTTGCACGGGATTGTGGGAGGAAGCGGAGCGCAGCCAGACACCCCGCCGCCCGCCCCCCTTCCCCTCCCCCCTCCCCCAGCCGCCTTGTGCAAAGATGGCTGCACCGTGAGCGCAGAGGAGGAGGAGGCGGCGGCAGCGGCGGCGAAAGAGCGAGCACCCAGAGCCCGCACCCACTCCGGGGCTGTCCGGGACGCCCCCTCCCGAGCGCGCGTCCCCTTTCTCTCTTGCAAGCGCCGGGGCAAAGGCGGAGACAGCGGGGTCCCTCCTCCCCCCTTTCCCTCCTCCAGGGGGAACCCCCCCTCCTTGGCTCAGCGGCTGCACCCCTCCTCTGCCCGCCCCTCCGTCCCTGCCCCCTCCCTCCCCCGCCCGGGGCCTTCCCGGGCCTTCGGTGGCTGCAAAGAAAAAAAAAAAAAAGAGAGAAAGGGAGGAAAAAAAAGCAGCGGAGGGAGCGGCGGCGGAGGAGAGCGCGCGCGCTCCCCCTCCTTTCCCCCTCCCTCCCCCTCCCCCCAATTTCCACCGCGGCCAATTCATGGACAGGAACTACCCCAGCGCCGGCTTCGGGGACCCGCTCGGCGCCGGGGCGGGATGGAGTTACGAGAGGTCAGCGAAAGCTAGGTAAGAAGCTGAGGGGGACCTAGAGAAACGGGCCAAGAGGTGGGGGATTCCTGCCTGGCTTGGGCCTGGGGCCCGCTCGGCAATGCGTGCATCGCCAACTCCCCCTCCGGTTTTTGCAAGGGAGAGGCCTTCTTTGGGTTTGTAACAACGCCGCCGCCCCAGTTTGCAAATTGCAAACTCCGCCAAAGCCAGCTCCAGCTTGCAAAAGAGAGAAACGAAGCAGGCAAGGTGCAAAAACAAATTCGAACCGGGAAGGCCTTGGGAAGATGGGAAGGGTTGGCGAAGCAAGGCCTGGACTTGCCCCCCATCTTTGGATTCCCGGCTTGCTGACCCCTCCCCCCGTGCGCCCCTGGCTCTGCAACTGCAAAGGTGGGAGGAAAGGAGAATTAGCATGCCGACCTGGGGGGCGCGCACCCCCTCCCAGGTCCTATTGTTCCGGGGCTGCGGGAGGCTGGGCCACTCGGGCCCTCCCCCCTCCAAGAAATTCCCCGCGCAGAGTGGGCAAGGGGCCCCGCCCCCTTCTTAAACTAGGATTCTGTGTTGGGGGGGTCCTGCGATTAGGGACACGCCCCCTTCTGCTCCCCACCTTTCTCAAAGCTGTGAATCCTGGTTGATGGCGCGCTGTTTGCCCTATGGTCCAAGGCCACGTATTTGGGCTCTTTCTGGGATAGAGTCGTATCTTTTCTCCGTTTGTGTTTGCATGTGTGAGCGTGGGCCCTGTGCACGCGTGACTATCCGCGTGTTCACCCGTGAGCCTGTCCTTTGCAGTTTAATCTGTATCGTGTGTCCTCACTCTTCACCTGCCCTTCACCCTCCTCCCCCTCAACACTTGGCTTTCCCCAGCATGTACAAATTTTTAGAGTGGGACTTCACACTCGGGACTTTTCCTTCCCCACGGGTGAATTGAGCTGTTTATACACGCATCTGGCTTTTCTTAGGCCGGTGCACTTGAACCTTAGCCCATGGGAATGCAACGAATTCGTGTCAGTACTTGTACCTGGGACTTTCCCTGGGTCCTGTCCCCTCCCCACCTTCTCCCCTTGCCATTTGGGACACAAGCTACCTCCTGCTCGCGGCCTGGCTAATTCCTTTCTTAATTCAGGGTCTGTGTTGTTTCAGCGGGTCTTGGGTTGTCCATGTGTCCCTGCAGTGTTGGACCTTTGGTTCTGTTGTGGCTGGGGAGGACTCCAAGGGAGGACCACACCTTTCATGTTGATTACTGGAGCTGCTTCCCCTAACTTCCTTCGTCCCCAGTGTGTCCCCGCATGCTGGTGTTTGCAAACGTGGGACTTTTAGGTGCTCCAGAATAGCATCGTTTTTTGCCACTCCCCACCCCCATGGCATTACTGGGTTCCCTAGTGTTATCTCAGGGTTCTTTGGAGTAACACCTCCAGTCAGTTGGGAAGTTCCTCCTAGCCCCCTTCTTAGAGGCTAGCTTGTGAGGGTATTCTGACATCTTTCTCTTGCTCTCAGCTTGGTCTACGGCAGCTCCCGGACTTCCCACCCAGAAACCGACATCTTGCATCGCCAGGCCTACGCGGCCCCCCACCCACTACAAAGCTATGCCACCAACCACCACCCCGCAGGTATGGGCTCCCATCCTAGAGGGCTGGGGCCGGTCTTCCCTTTAAGACATCTGATTGGTTGCTGAAAGTTCCGCCCCTGCTAATTGGCCTTGCTCTGGGTTCTGGACCTCTTTTTGCCACTTCTCCTCTGATTGGTTGCCTCTGAGGCCTTTTTCACGCCGGATTCGTCAGGTCCTCTATAGCTACGCCCCTTTGCCTCCTATTGGCTGCTACCCATCAGGGGCCCCCAAATCCCACCTTCTCTTCCAGGCTTTTCCTCTCCCTCCAGCCCACCCCCAGTCCTTTCTTTCCCTGGGGATTCTCTTGGCTGGTTGGCTCCTTTTCTTCCCTATTGGCTCCAGTTCTTTGGCCCTCCCCCTGCTTGCTTAGAGTAACCTCATCCAGCACCTCGTCCTTGGTACGCACACCTCTGATTTTTAAGCCAGTGCAGTCTGCCCAGGGTCTCCTTGTTGTCCCTGTTTTCTGCCTCTTGCCTATTTATTTATTTATTTATTTATTTATTTATTTATTTTTAATTTCTCCTCTTTTGACTTTTCGTTGGTATTTCTGTGGTGCTGGAAATCCAACCCGGAGCCTTCCCTAATCTCCTTCCCTCTCTCTTTCCATTCCTTTCTTTATTTTCATAAGTGCGGTAGGGTCTCATGGCGTTACTCAGATTGTCTCTGAAGGTCTGATCCTCCTGCCTCAGCCTCCTGAAAGCAGAGTTGAAAGGCACTGCATTCATTTGCTTGTCTCTGGCTCCTCCCTCCAGTCCTCTTCTGAACTGTACCTGGTTTAGTGCTTTCCCGTCTGTCTCGCCCCAGCCACCATCCCCTCCCTGGCTGACTTGTTCACTTGTCCACTGTCAGGCCTCTCTGGACTTTTTGACACTGGCCTCCACCACGCGGGCTCAGCAGGGCCCGACGCCTCCGTCATGAACCTCATCTCGGCCCTGGAGTCCCGGGGCCCCCAGCCTGGCCCTTCTGCCTCCTCTCTCCTTTCCCAGTTCCGAAGTCCTTCCTGGCAGACAGGTAAGTGTTATCCTCAGCGGGCTGGAGAAGGGCTGTCTCGTGGTCCACTCTGACCGTTGATCTTCTCCTTCATCCCTAGCCATGCACACACCGGGCCCCACGGAACTCTTCATCTCTGGTGCCCTCCCAGGTTCCAGCACCTTCCCGTCTTCCTCTGCCCTGTCTGCCTACCAGCACCCGGCTTCCTTCGGCAGCCGCCCCTTCCCAGTGCCCTCATCCCTCAGTCTTCAGGATCCGCCCTTCAGTCCCCCTGCTAATGGGCTCTTGTCCCCCCATGATGTGCTCCACCTGAAGCCCTCCCAGGCACCCACAGTGCCCTCTTCATTGGGTTTTGAGCGCCTGGCAGGGGGTGGTGTCTTGGGGCCTGCTGGCCTTGGTCCTGCTCAGACTCCCCCTTACCGTCCTGGTCCCCCAGATCCACCTCCACCTCCCCGCCATCTCCCGACTCAGTTCAATCTGCTGGCTTCTTCTTCTGCTGCCACGGCTGCCGAGCCATCTTCCCCTCAGCTCTACAACTTCTCGGGTGCTGCCCCGGGTCCGCCGCCGGAGCGGGCCCTGCCCCGACAGGACACAGTCATCAAACACTATCAGCGGCCAGCCAGTGCCCAGCCCCCACCGCCCCCACCACCAGCCCATTCCCTGCAGCACTATCTGAGCTGTGGAGGCAGCTATCCCTCAATGGGCCACCGGGCCAGCTTGGCTTGCAGCCCTCTGGGAGGTGGGGAACCTTCTCCAGGTGCTGGAGAACCTAGCAAGGGTGGGCCTAGTGGAGCCACAGCTGGAGCAGCTGGCCGGGCTACAGGCCCGGAGACTGCTGGGGGAGGTGCAGCTGGAGGTGGTGGTGGGTACCGTCCTATCATCCAGTCCCCTGGTTACAAGACGAGTAAGGGAGGTTATGGGCCAGCCACAGGGGGTGCCACCAGGCCCCCACCACCTCGATCTACTGCCACACCCAAGTGTCAGAGCCTGGGTGGACCAGCAGCTGCTTATGCTGCTGGGAAAGCCTCTGGGGCTGGTGGGGCTGGGAGCCAGGCATATTCCCCTGGCCAGCCCCAAGGGCTTCTGGGACCCCAGGCCTATGGGCAAGGATTTGGAGGGGGTCAAGCACAGGACTTAAGCAAAGGCCCTAGCTATTCTGGGGGTCCTCCGCAGCCTCCTAGTGGTCCCCCGCCTCCTGGCCTGGCTACTTGTCAGAGTTACTCTCCAGAACAGCTTCAGGGTCAGCTCTATGGGGTCCAAAGTGAACCTTACCCAGGGCCAGCTGCCCATTCACAGGGGCTCCCAACAGCCAGCCCTTCTCTCAGCTACAGTACTGGTCACTCCCCTGCTCTCTCAGGCCATGGAGGTGGCTGGGGACCCAGTTCTCTGGGAGGAGGTGGGGAGGCTAGCCCTTCTCATATTATCCGACCCCTCCAGTCACCACCTGCTACTGGCCGCCCTCCTGGTGTTGGCTCTCCAGGAGCCCCTGGCAAATACTTAAGTTCAGTCTTAGCTTCTGCTCCGTTCCTGGCACC